AGTAAACTGGTTTTCCAGTTCCAAGTGGCCTAAGAATGTCATGAAATTTCTAGGCACCATGACCTCTGCTCCTGTAGGTGTCACTGTTTATTTCACAAGTCTTTTTGGCAGCGACAACCGGCACAAGAGTAACGACCTTTGGTAAAATACGATTACTGATTCGTCTACGCCTTTTTAGAGATGGAAACTAGCTCCAATGGTGATTGTCCCAGGACAACATGCCAACCGTTTTGCTTACTTGGGAAGGCCTGATCCCAACTTGACAAAACACTAGCAAAGGTGGGTGTAAACTCGATAACTAGGGTGATGTACCGGCTCTTGCTTCCCATCTGTTCTCTGTGGAATGAAGGGGTTGATTTCTTCACTGCGCACTCCTCCTTTCCATCGAAGCAGAGGTACCTGGTATTCACGTCAAACCGGTGCCTAGATGTTGAAGGGTTCTTGTACTTTGTATGCTTGACTTAAGTCTGGCTGATGTAGGAGGAGCGATCATACACTGTACCAATTATTTCCCGTTGTATCATGGGAAATATTCTTGAAAGTTTAGACAATTCCCCAAAACTCTGTTTCACTCATCCCCCTTAACTTTCCTCCACTGCCACGCTTGGCTTCTTCCCCCGTCTATCCACAGGCATTGATCTCACTGTTGTGTAGTCTTGCTCACGGAGCTTTGGCCATGTGTTAAGGCTAACAAGGTGAAAGAAATGATAATGAGCAAACTGAAAAAGAAAAGGCTCCTCTCGGACCTTATTCTTATGTTTTTATTCCTTCAATCCAAATCATCCCATACATTACCCCGTTTGGAGCAGAAAGTGGAAAGTGTAGAGGGGTTATTCGTTAGCTACAAGCCTTCACCGCCTGACCCAGCTGCTAAGGACAGAAATTGGAGTACGGCTCTTGAAAAGCTTTCGAGTCCCTTTTTTTTCATGTATACTTCACAGAGTGAATCATCACAGGCCGAGGGAAGAGGCTGAAATAGTTAACACAAAAAATGGCAGGTGAACTGAAGAACCAGCATATGGTGGCCGCTGTCCATACTTGTATCTCTTTGTTGTATTTGTTACCCGAAACTCTGTGAAGAGCTTTTGGCATGTCAGCAAAAGCTGCTGGAAGAGCAAATAGTCATTATCTTCCACCCAGGCAACTTTGAGCAGCTTGTTGCTTAGCATGAGACCGTCTGTTGATGATGTAGGCCAGTGCACTTCACAAGCACCTTCACAAACATATTATTTATTATTGGATTTACCAGTTTTTACTCTTGGAATATAGTGATATACGACTAAAGGATACATAAGGACAAGCTAAGAACATCAACTCTAGAAGATACAGCCATTGATATCTTTACGCAGTAAAATAATCTCTGTTATGCTATTATTTATAAAGGTATAAATAACGTGCTAATGTGCTACTGACTGTCGCAGTGTCTGAAGTTTTGAAACTAAACATTGCTGGTCACCATATTGGTAGTGCTGACCAACAACTTTGGAAAAAAAAAGAAACTGAGTTTAGGCGGGCTTTTAGCAAACAGCTAGTCAACTGTGCCCAAAATGATGCCTGATTACGCCAACTTTTAGACTAGGAATGAAATACCCCCCCGGAATAGTGTGTCAAATAGAAAAAAATGTGCTACAAAGAAGAGAGTTCCACCACACACAACATAGTCAGAATGTAGATTTATATCGTATTATCCTGTTAACGTGTTTATTTAAGGTGAGAAAATTGGCAAAATAACATGGGTGTTAATGGGGTCTCCTAACCTTTTGGACCAGCCCCAAGTGGACACTAAGGGAACTGCAGGTTTTAGCAATTTTTGCCTCATTTTGTAACATCATATTTTGACCACCATTTTATTGAAACTCACTATCGATAAAGGGGGCATCATGCATTGTTTTTAAATTATCAGAATAGGACATTTTACAAGACTTTTTAGAGGGTACCTTACCCCATATTGGACCACTGGACTGGCATACATATCTTGCAATACTTCTATCAGTCACAGCTGTAAACTTTTGTACTGACACAGAGTTTACCATGATTATAGTACACTGAAGAAAATAACAGTGAAGTGAGGGATTTTCTAGTGTCTTTATTAGTGTGTTGGGAATTTAAAGCTGCTGAAATATATTTTATTTGACGCTCCTATGAAGAGTTAGTTTAAGTTTGTTACACAGAGTGAAATTCATGCCAAACTAAACAAGTAAAGCAGAAACAATGAGATTTACATCGATCAACTCTCTCTTGTATTATATATTCAACCAAGTCGATGAAGAGCAAAAGTCTGACATAAGTTGTACAATACTGTTAACCTCTTAAAAATTTAAATAAATACCAACGCAGCTGACTGTGGACTGTTGTAAAGAGTCAGGCAGCTGCATCATCCTTGTATTTAAAGTTTTATTTAGGAGATGTTGCATTTTTATCAAATCTATTTCTCCTCCGACTCTCTGGAGCCTGTCAGAAAAACCCAAACAGACTGCCTTTATACCAACTGCCACCATGGAAAATTGCACTCATTAGTGACTCTATTTCTTTCTCGTTTTAATTACACTAATATCAAGCGAGGAGATTTTAGGATGGGAATAAACAAGGGTTGTAAAAGTGCAAAATTACACCATCAAAATGTCATATTCCACAAGGGTGAGACTGGCATCTAATTCATTTAATCAGAAAATGACTCTGATTGAATTGATAGAGAGGGAAGGAGGGAAAATAACTTTGAACTAAAGGTCATATATCAACAGAGCGAACTCAAGGGGGTTTAATTCAGCGATCTGGTCTGTTTGTAAAGGATTTGGATAAGATTGGCTGACGTCTATAGGGTGTCATATATCTCTCCTGGCTGCACTGTCAAACAGAGCTGAAACTGACAAATATTTACAAGTTTAATTTAGGGCAGCATCATGCCCTCCATGGCAGGGAAATTTTTGAAAAATAGGTCCTATGCTGGCATGGACGCTGGGGATATGACGATCCATGATTAGAAATTGATTTTTTTTTCGTCAACCCCAGGTTCAATTATCGGGGTTTATGTTTGATGGGACCATAATGGCGCCTATCTGCAAATACAGCGGCTCATGCCATTTTGTTTTCTTTTCCATCAGGTCCAATCGAGCTGTAATTGATTCCCTAATTGCCTTTAATTATAAAGTAAATGACTTCTTTCTGCCGTGCAAGTTGGGTTATCTGTTGTGGCGGCTATCAAAGGCAGAGTTAATATACTGGATGATAGGGTTAATAATCACAATCAGGGGTGTAATTCTCATTAGATCCAAATACGCATAAAGAAATGCAATTAACTCATGAGCATATGATTGCTTTGTATAACATCTGCAATCTTGATAACAATTGCATCAAACTCTTTGTAGAAGAGAAGCTAAATCACTCCTAATTTTACAGAAATTATATCTTTAACTTGTTTATTTTTCTTTTTTAATCAACCCTCTCTGCGATTTGAAGCTTATTGGGACGAATGAAACAGCACAGAATTACCGCAGCGTGTTTTCCAAAACTAAAAGTTCCCCACCCGGTCACCCGAAGAGCAGTCTGAGATTTGTGCTGCTGCTGCTGCGGTTGTTGTTGAGTTAAACACACCGCTTGCTTTGCCACCCCTGATAAATAAAACATTGTAGTGCTCCAGGAGAAAGAGAGGAAAGAGGAGGAGGAGGAGAGGGGGGCTTCCCTCCCCTGCATGCATCACACTTTTGCCTGAATGCACCATGGACACTGTGTCTATGCTCTGAAAACACATAAACATAAACACATACACACCAGTTTTCACCCTTCGGCACTCTCTGGCTACCCCCTATCCCACCCCATATTCACTCTGAAAATATTCATGCCTGTTCTGACACCCAGAGTGTGTAAGGCGTTACAGGACACCGCCAACATGGAGAGGAGCCACGAGGATTTCACAAATGCATGGAAATACCAACACAGCTCCTCAATTCATGTTAAACAGGACACAAGTAGACTTTCAAAAACAACATCTCTGAGAGCCTTTGAGCTAACAGCTTGTTTTTGGTCTAAGTGTAGCAAATACATCATCAAATAAGTTATATAAATAAAGCTATCGCCAAATCTCCTTCCTGATTACTGCCTACTATTGTTAGCTAGGTGGTTAGTTCTCTTTTCGAATATATGACGTCATACTAGCAACGAGTTAAACGGTTAAAAATAATGACTAGCAGCTTCCTCAGTACGATGACTAAGTGTTAAAGCTCCTCTGAGGATTTTTTGGATTTTGATGAAATAGACCTAAATTCGCACTGAAACCTCTTTATGATAAACAAAAGTAAACAAGACTGTCAACTTTAAGATTGCTAATTCTTATACGAGCCAAAAAAGGAAGAAACGCCATTTTTACAATTTCTATATAAAATATTTACAACAAGGTTGCACTTTTGACTTTTATTTAGATTTTGAAAAGCGCTTTATAAATAAAATGTATTATTATTATTATTATTATTATTAAAAGTCGGAGAGAAAGGTTGCAATATGTGATAGGACTGCTTTGTCCACAGGGGGCGCCAAAGTTGACACCAAATGAAAGTTCCTTACAGGAGCTTTATTATCAGCTGTTTGGCTTCTTTGTTTGATAGTGAAATATAAACAAAATTTCAATGAATTTCTCTGTTTTTGTTTAAAGATGTATACTAACATAAACTGTATAACACTTTCGATTGGTAACATCAGCTTTCAGCCTCTTCCATGCTAACCTAAATAAAATTCAAAATTCGAATTTGAACAGGCTATTGAGAGTTTTTACGATTCTGCTCTTGACATCACTCGTCACACTTGTCCTGTTGTATCCTGTTTTTTTAATTTTTGATTGCTTGACTGTAAAGAAATAGTATACAGCTTAATTACAAACATTGTTGCCAACCTAGTTACTTTATAGCTAGATTTAACAACTTTTAGATACCCCAGCGACTTATTTTCAAAAAAGCACATAGCGACAAATCTAACGACTTTTTCTGGAGTTTAGAGACTCCAACATGAAAGCAGGTATCGACCCCCTAGCGACTTATTTTCAAAAAAGCGCATTGCGACAAATCTTGCGACTTTTTCTGGAGTTTAGAGACTCTACCGTGAAAGCAGGTATATGTTACTCTTCGCAACAGGTAGCTAGTATTTGGCGGAGAAATTATGCAAATTAGGCAATGACGTCATTTAGCGACTTCTAGCGACTTTTACAACAGCCACTAGCGACTTTCCTTACTAAGGAGTTAGCGTCACTGATTACAAAAACATATTAGGCATGATGTTAAAGGAAACCGCTTTTTTGTGCTTCATCTTTCCCCAGCCTCGCTTCCTAACCCTGATGCTTAAAACAAATCTCCAACACTGTTTTAATCATCATTTACAAATGTTTGAGGATAACTCGTAAATGTGAGAATAACAGGAGTGACTATAGCACTTTTTTTTTTTTTTTTTACCAACATGTGACTGTTCCCACACCTCATGTGCTGCTCTGTCAGCAGCAGCAGTAGCAGCGAGCTCTCGACTCCTCGCAGCACTCCCTACAAACACCCTCTGAGTGCTTTCTGCACAGTCAAACATCATGCATTCATAGATAAGAACCACATGCATAATTGAAACCACACACAGAGTGGCATGACATGAATGTGGAAAAAAAAATATATCAATGCAGCTGCGCCCGGGCACCTCCTTTTAGCGCCTTAAGAATAAACAAGAAAACGGACAAAATGGAGTCTCGGGAAAGCCCGATGAAAATTTAATGGGTGGATATTATTTAGTTGTGCTCGGCTGGGTGGCTGTTGTAGGGTTGAAAAGATCTTTTTGCCGTCTTGGGTGAGGACCATGTTGTAGCACGTGAGCTGAATACAATCAGAGGATTTGTTCAAGAGTCAAACACTGTAAATGTGATGAAGTACAGATGTAAGACTGAGAGTGAAAAAGTCAACTGTCGACTGAAACACAAATGTTGAGAGATAATTTAGACAGGTCAACGTGATATGGAAGCCGGTGTGGAGGGAATAAATGTTGTGAAGGTTGTGTCTCAGCAGGGCTGGACTGGGGTGAAAACATCCGGCTTGGCATTTCAGCCGACGCAATCAATCAAACGACCGCTATCTTCGCGGTCCTTTGTGACAGTGTCTCGGGTAAATTAATGAAGTTTAAAGTCTGTGTGGCAATGTTTGTGTGATAACAAACAGACTTGAGGAAGTTCACTCATAAATGCATTTGTCAAACCCTTAGAGAGAACTACATACTGAGGAGTTGCTGGTTATCTGGGAATTTTTCTTGTTAAATTGCTAAATATAAAGTTAAGCATGTGATTGAAGTAGGGCTGAAACGATTCCTGGAATACCTCGAGAACCTCATTTACAAATACTGATCAGGGAATTTTCTCTGTCTCAAGTACTCGTTTATAAGCTCAAATCGTCACTGTTTCGCACAGATTCTTTTTAAAGTGACACAATGCACTTACATCACCACAGTAGAAGGAGGAGTAAGCGCTGTTTAGGTTTTGCGGAGTGGAAAAAATAAATGAGAGGGTTTTGTCTTGCAGTGTTACCAACCTAACGACATTCCTTACTGAGGAGTTGGCAACACTGTTTTCTTAGCACTTAGCCTCCGAGTCGTGGGTGGAGACAGCGCTGCTCTGCATACTTCTCTTCACGTTAGCTTTTAGACTAACATTGCTGGTGTCGTAGCAGAAGCAGGTAACATCGGAGCTATTCAGCTCTTGGACACTAATGTCTTTAGGGGCATGATGACAGCTAATATCATAATTAGCTTTCTTACGAGCTTTGCAATCTGCTAACGCACACGCTTGTTCCGCGATTGTCTTCTATTTCTACGATTCTGGCCTTCATTGCAGAGCTATAGGAAATCTAACTTTATGTGAGTCCGCCGTTTGAGTCCAATTACTCAAGTAATCGATAGAATATTCAGTAGAAAACTCAATTACTAAAATATTTGATAGCTGCAGCTCTAGATCGAAGAGTTAGCATCTTATTAGTTGTTACCTGTTGGACTATTTCTCGGTTAGGACAAGCTTGGTTAAAAACTCGACAAACATCTGCAGACACTGCAGGCAGTCGTGCAAGTGTGGCTGCTGTCAAACAACAGTAACGTCCTCAGAAATGATAACACCCTTTTGCCTATTGTGAATGACACCATACCAGTTCTAAAATAGTTACTGCTTAATGTTCAATATATGTCATGTTACATCGGCAGAAATAACAATACTTTCTAACATTATATACAACTTAACCATTTATATGTACAAATCAATCAAAAATCTACCTAAAACTCGATACTAGCTAAGTTAGCCATGTATAAATAGATTATAATGTGCATGCTATAATTGGTATTGTTATTAAACTGTTGTATTAATTGGAAAAAAAAAACAGTGGTATTGGCAATATATATCAGTTATTGGTCTATCTGCTAATTATTAGCACCTGCTGTTTAAGAAAGCCACTTCAGTCGACCACTCCTTTGAACTATGGAGGTTCCAACGCTATTTATTTACTTGTTGTTCACACAGATATGTAAAACCATCAAAACTGAGCTCTAGTTCTTAACATAATTCTACGTAGGTTCACATAATCTGCAGATGATAAGTGATGAACAGGTTTGAATCTGTTCTTAGTATTATTGTAGTACGACAGTTGTATTAACTTGAGCTACAGCCCCAGCTTTGACATAACCACATGCTTTTTAAGGCCTATTATAAGAAAAAGTCAACATTTTGTTAAGATCCCTACTGTTATTAAGTAATATTTTTGTATTCATTCAACAATTATGATATATCACATTAATTGGGTCATTTTTGAGTTAAAGGTCAGTTGTTTCTTCTATCTGCCACCTCCAGTATCAAGTTTGTTTTACAGATCTCTGTGTTGCATCAATGTTTTTATCCAACTCTCATCATTCTCCCCGAACTGTCCGATTAATAAATCACAGATCAAATATCCGCGTCAAGGATTTGCAGCATAAGAACCGGTGGAGTTTGGATTACACCAGATTTCCTCTGACAGCTCCAGTGTTTGTCCCTTTGCAATATTAATGAACCTGTAATTGCCGTGCTGAAATCACACTCATAAGCGAGGCGTGTGTTTGAGAGATTGTAAAATCAGCTCTTTATTGGCCACCGCTTTCTCTTTGTTCTGCCGCTCCCACGGTTTTGTCTCTCCTTGGTGGCAGGTTGTTTGCACCTAAAGATGGCTGCCATCTGTTCAGTAACCACTGAGGACATCCTCCTGCTTACCGACATAGCTGACAGGATATAATGATGGATTACATTATTAGAGAATATAATGAGAGAATATTTAACTCTTCACCTGTATCAAACAGTATGCTAATGCTTGTTTCAGCTATACAAGCATATGTTGTACTTTTTGAGACTGTTGGTATGAACAAACGGTTCACTTTGAGAGTAGTTTATCGTTGATCAAACACGATTGGAAACAGACTGCAGCTTGTACCTTAAGTTTGCTTTACAAAGACATTTTTAAGTCCTTAATCTATGCTTGTTAATGTACTCTTACTTTGTTGTAAAACAGCAGGAGTTCTCTTTGGTGATGATCCAACAGATCAATATCACCCACTGCTTGAGTTTACTTTAAATCTACGTAGCATTTGAACATTATTTAGCTCTAATTTAGGCTTTCAGGTCTTGGTGAAATGTTATACCTTCTGTCTTCTTTGGATAGTTTATCAGCCTCGTACTAGGGAAGTTGTTGAACTAGCTAGTTTGGTGTGGATGAAGATATGAGTTGTAAATTTTTGGATCGGTTGTTTTCTTGCAAAATGAGACCCTTCGTCACAATTTCTGCCAAGTTTGGGTTAGCAGCTCAAAAAAAAAACACCAAATGAAAGTAAACTGAGTTTAAGGGCCTATGTCCACTGAGAGCATTAATTATCTATTTGGCGCTTGCAGGACCTTATTTTATTTTATTTTTTTAAACTTGTATTGTTGGACACTTGTTACTTTCAGGTACAATAGTTGAATCTGACTGCAAGCCTTGTAGCACCTTTTTTAAATACAGAACTAATGACAGTGTAAGTGTCAATAGGCCCTCTTTGTGAGCCTCAATAGTTGATGTTACATCTCCCAAAGACCAATACAAACCGAGAGGAAGTGGGTTGTCTGATGTAACCCACATGGACAACAATGTTGGGGGTAAGCACATGAGAGAAACTGACCACTATCAATTTTTGAGATACCCTTCAAGATCTGGAGCCACTGCCAAAGCTAGGGCAATTTTTCCGTTACTTAGTACAAATGTTCATGTAAAATTCCATGAAATAAAAGCTGATTTGGATCACACAGAGAAGTTTTAAACAGACTTAAAGAATTATTATTGCTCTGGTATAATTTTCATAACCTAGCAACAATAAGAAGCTATCTGAAATTGAGGTCATGGGCATTTGCCAGTATGAAAAACGCTGGTAGTGGACACAGGCCCTCAAGCATTTGGTATCCCCAGGCAGTCACAAAAAAAGTACCAACTGTTTAAAACTCTTGCTCACACCCCAAGTTTGGAAAGGATTGGAGTATTCAGTGAGGTGTGATCACAAGGCAGAATAAATGGGGTCTCAACCAATTCGAGACCCCTGTAGAGCCTGCTTGTCTAGAGTTTAGATTGAGGCTACTCCTTTTAACCCCTCTACATTACTGTTGGGATCTGGGTCTAAAAACGGCTCAAACTTGTGAAATTCTTGCCGAACTATGTCTCAACTTTCACATCAGGTAAAACTATCTGTAATTCAATGATGCAACGTTGATTGAATCCATGCAATACTTATTGAGACATCAAATTGAAGGTCAGTGCAAAGCTACTTAATGGCTAGACGTGGTGCATTTACACAAAAGCCGATATACCCCCAGCCACCAAAAGCAATGACAGCATCACTGAATATCCTCATTGAAACTGACAATTTCAGGGAGAAAATAAAAGCAAACTGTGAGTTTTCTGGTGTTTACAAGTACATGAGCATATTGCAAAAGTCTAAAATAAGAAAAGACACAAGGCAAGTGAGAAAAATAGAAATCTGAATGTGAGTCAGCTGCAAAAAATGCCTTCCACTTCTCTTTTCCTATCCCTTAACTCTACCTTGCTGAGGATGTATTGTGAGGGAGAACATCTAATCCACTGAGAGGACGTCTTGGACTATTCTGGGAGAAAAAAAAAAAGGGCTGCTTCAGCAAACAGCAAAGTACAGGAGCAATGACAAGGTGCCTCCCCTCGTCCTCCTCCTCTGCCTCCCTCTCGCACTTTACATACAAATAGCTGTCAAAATAAAATTGCCTATTTTGAATAAGAATATCCCTGAGACGAAAACACAAATATATGAAAGGACAGAGCAGCCCACTGGAACAGACACAGAGAGCATGAAATCAGATATTAATGTGCTCTAAATTGAAAGACATTGCGTTATGACTTTGCAAATAAAGTAAACTCATGTCACTTTCATCACTGTTTTTAATAAAAATGTTATTATGAGTTTTGATCGTCTTTACTTTGGCGTCTCCAGTGGCAGGAAATAAGTATTTCTTTTAAATGAGGTTATACTGTGTATTGATGGAGGTCAAGAGAGGGTAAAAAGGCTTAAAAAATTACCGTTATTTGCTACAGAAGCTACAGAAGTAACCTTAGTCTGATGGTACAAAGAGCTACAAATGTTATTCAGGTTTCAGTGTTAAAACACAATAAAAACGTCTTTAAATACAATAAAGATGGAGTATGATTTTACAGAGCTTTGAGCCTGCATTTACAAAAATTCACCAATGAATTCAAACAGCTTTAAAAACAACAAAAAAGACCTTTAGACACAAGATTGACAATTTGAATGTTGTAATTTCAAATGCCTGGAATTGATTTGGGGGGTAGGTTTTAGCTGAGCAGAAAAACAGGTCTCTTTTTTTCATTTTACTGAATGATTTAAGAGCATTTTATAAATTTGACAGAAAGACACCATTGAAATATGTGGATGACAAGTAAAGTAAAAATTGCTTTGACCACAGGGGGCCTAATAAATGGGGCATAAAAAAGTTCCTCACAGGAGCTTTAAGTTTATTAGAACTCGATTGATTTGTATAGTCAGGCACATCAAAATTCGCCTCTGAATATTTTGTAATTTCGTGTCGTATATTTGCGTCGTTCCCTGTATGTAAGGACCTTTAGTCTTGAGAAATAAAGTGCTTAAAATTGCATTTCCTGGAGTGTCCACTAGAGGCTGGCTGCAAAATCACTGGGAGCCCCATTCACACCCATTCAAAAAGCTCATCTTTAGGGCAAAATTTACTATTTTTTACAGCTTGGTCCAAAAAGCAGTTTGAGTCAGACTAGAATTAAAGCGAAACAAATAATAATACTAACAACAGATTACACCAAAATTGGACATACCAGGACAAATTCAAAGCTGTGATCACATTTGTGCCGTCCGTATAAATCCAGCAGCTAACTTGATCTGAGCAAAGCCCATGAGGTCGTAGGTCAAATTGCACTGGAGGCTCCATAAGCTCTCACTTAATTTGGCTCCTGGCGTGTCCTAATCACCAACCATTATTACCATCATCACATAATCTAAGATGTATGAGGCGAGAATGGCCGAGGCATTATGTTTGTGATATTCATTTTGATTTTTAAGCAACAGCCATATAGATAGAATAATCAAGAAAAATGAGACGATTATCCATCAAGGGCATTACACCAGGCAGCGGCCAATTTATCCCGACGAGAAGGCTCTGAATGGGCTTGATAAATCATCAGGAGAGGGGATATCATTTGGCCTCACAGCGAAAAAACTGTAGCGCAAGCATATTTCAAACCATTAAGGGCTAAAGTTAGCTCTCACCCCCCTCCCGCCAATCTATCAAAGGGGCTGTGCAGGCTTTAGCGTGAGCCCCGCAGCGGGCCGGGCTGTGTGCCTGTGAGGTGCCCTAAAGAACAAATGTTTCATTTTCATTAGTTACCAGGTAGTGCGCGCCCCGGGGCCAGGACAGGCTTTCCTCCGTGTAAATCTCTCCTGGGAAGATAAGGGATGGAGGAAAGTTTTCAACCACTTTTCAGTTTGAACAAGGAGGGGGGACGTGTCAGCGAAGAAAAACTACACATCATAAGAGCTTATTCATCTCATGGTATATATTTCCAGCCTCAGAGCATAACAGAAATGGCTTGGCTACCAACTGCAATGATTATTACCCAGCTTTAAATCTCAGACAGGGTATATGTGATGGTAAATGATGAAACTAATGGCTGGCCTTTGATTCAACGGCCTTTTATTTCTTAGAGCCACTAAAAAAGCTCACGGCAGCTCACATTTTATCTACTTCCACCAATCATGGTTTTTCTAAGGTTTTGATATGCAAAAGAAACTGATGAAATAGCCGTGCAAAGATGATCAAGATGTTTTCTGATCATGTCACCTGCATTGTCCACTAGGGCCCGACCGATTTATCGGCGAGACGATTAAATTGGTCAATTTGAGCGAATCTGTAATCGACCAAACTCTTTAATTTCTTTCTCTAACATTTATAAACGCTTTTTCTTTCTTGGAGAGCCGGTGACAGTTAGGGTTGGGTATCGAGTCTCGAGCATCGATGGGGAATATAATTTAAAAATTCATGGAGAAGTTCGGAAATTTCATCAAAAAAAAAAGAACTCTGGTTAGCGCCCTCATTTAAACCACGTATTTCTTTTTAATCTCCTGCCTTTTAAAATAATCAAAATAGAGAATTGATAGGAATCGGAATCGAAACAAGTAATCGGAATTGGAATCGTTCAGAATCAAACAATACCCAACCCTAGTATGGAGTAGCTTACTAGGTGGAATGCAAGGTATAAGATGAGGTAGCGTAGAAGATAGCGTACTAGGTAGGAAATCGGAATCGAAGAATCGGAATCGTCCAACATCAAACAATACCAAACTTAAGTATGGAGTAGCGTACAAGGTGGAATGCAAGGTATAATATGAGGTAGCGTAGAAGATAGCATACCTAATAGCAAATTGGAATCGAACTGAGGAATCGGAATTGTTCAAAATCAAATGATACCCAACCCTAGTGATAGTTACTAAATCTTCCTGGAGAAACAGTAAATTATCTCTCTGTGGATAAAGAAGACCAGCAGCAGAAAGAATAAAGCCATAAAACTGAAAATTCACGTCGTCCACATTGGTGTTATTAAGTCCACATGGTGGAAGTTTAAATGAACTCCAGCCTCTTGGATAACCCAATATACTCATGGCTGAGCATTACCCCAGTTGACCCGCTAATCCCAAGTCACTTACTACTGTCTTTGTTTCCTCTCGCCCCCTCAGTCTTTCTCTGAACCTGTCCTCAGGGCTCTAGCTTCAGGGCCACATCAGGATGAAACAAATAGAGGAAATTTAGACAAATGCTCAGATGAAACAAACAACTCCTCGCTGCCTGCAGGCCCTGTGTCTCCTTCTTTTTTTTCTGTTTTATTTTTTTATTTTTTTGATACTGTAATTCCCTTCCAGAAAGTAATAACTTTATCTCAGGGAGGCTCGGGGAAGCAGAGAAACCTCCGTTGGTGAAATCTGACAGGTCTAGTAGAAAGGGGCTTTATGTGTCCCTTTCATTTTCACAGTGCCCGTCCTTGCGAGTGCCACTTGATTTGCTGTCCTGTAAATGTGCCATGTGGGCGGCACTCAGACGGATCCCGAGTGTCAGTCTTCCGCATGGGATTTGCCGGAACTTTCTGAAGCTATTGTGGTTTTTAACACCCTGAAGGTTCACAAGATTCTTTTCAGTCGAGATATGTAGGTCAGCACGGTTTATTTTAAAAAGAGAGGCACTATCACAACCTTTAAGACCATCCGATTTTTTTGTTTTTTCTTTCATTTAAAGAGGCGGTATGTATTTTCATGACAGTCAGACAAGATAACAATAAGGTGGCATCTACGGAATAAAAGCATCATGCTGTGAGGCTCATTCGCAGGTGAGTATTTGTTTATAAAATTGCAGGTTTTGGTCAAGTTCTGATCTATCAGAATGGCCTCTGGTGACAAGGCGAGCCGGCCTTCTTTGTTGACAAATTACGGTATAGCGACACCGTTGATTGGGCTTTTTTTTTAACAAGCAAGTGAACCTGAAATGACAGATGTGAGGAGACAATTTACGAATCCAAATCAAGTGACAGCCCTGCAATCATTCCGCCTGTGAATAATTTGAAACCGTTCAGAGGGCTCCAGAGAAAAATGAGAAATATAAAAGAGCCAATAAATACATGCTTGTGAGTGTTGCACTCTATAAATAGATTTTTAACTCAGGGAGACTTATTACCTTATTGACACAACATCAATAACACTTGATTGCCTGTAATTGTCCTGTCAAAATGCGCCTTTGTGTTATTGAAAATAGATAGTGCTAACACAAAGTAGACCCTGAGCAAACAGACGTTTTCAGTGGATGTCATTAGCATGTATAGATATAATATTGTTTGCAGAGTCTGCAACCCTGTTGTCACTGGGTTAGGTGTTAAAAGCACTGGTTGACAGCTGGGTCTAACCTCTGGACCCAGTACCACCCCCTCAGTGACAATCACAGCTCACACTTTATTGAGATAACAGCCTCCTACTGACTGAAGTGTGGATGAAGTACCAGTGTAGGAGAAATAAGCATCTCCCTGTCTTTAATAAACATCATCAGACTACTAAGTGAATTATAAACTTTAAAGCTACTGTAAGGAATTTTAGGATCCCCTCTACAGATGTTGTTATTATCGTTTAAACAGTTGTAAAATGTATTTAGGGGCACATGTGAGCATAAAAAAAAAGATTAGGAGAGGCAACAAGTGTGTTTTTTTCATGTAAATGCCACGGGGAAGTTAGTTTTAGGTTGGATATTCAAAGGGCATTTACTGCGGATCTACCATGTCTTCTCACTCTCCGTAACCGATAATGGCAACAGCAGTGGGATTAAATCTACTCGGCATCCTCGCTGTCAACATCAGGTGTTAAATAAGGGACCGTCAATAAATTACCAATTGATGTTCTCAAAAAAGGCTGTTTTCCTTTAATAGCTTCCACGTCATGTGACCAATTGACGTAAAATTAATTTCAAATAATAAGACTTATGTTGACCAATAAGACACGCCTTTTTATTTCCCTAATTTGTCCGCATAAATTTTTCGTGTTAAATTTAACCCTCTAATGCGTGACAACACAAATTACGGCCAGAAAATTCAATTTTTTTGGAGCTGAAATGTTTATTTCACTTACTATTGAAAACCAAAAAAATCAAAATGCCCTGAAAATTTAACAAATATATTTATTCATCTTGTTTGGAATATTAGATGTTTTTGGAAACTGATAGATTACAAGAGGACATTTTTGTCATTTATCAGACTGTATTCAGGTGTTTTTTTTAGTAATTTGTTGATCATGTTGATTTGATAGAAGTATATAAAATTATCAAATATAATCCAAAAGGCAATAAAGGGCTCAATAATAATACTCATGTCGAGCAATAACACACACTTCTTTATCTCCCTAATTTGCCCTCATAAATGTTTGTGTTAAATTTATTGGCAAGTTTTGAACATTTTCTTCAATAGCTTCCATGTCATGTGACCAAAAGACCTAAAATTGATTTCAAATAATAGTACTTATATCGACCAATAAAACAAACATTATTTGATCAATTTTCATTGTGCCTCTAAAGTTCTTTGTGTGCTCCTTACTTTTTCAATTTAGGAGCTCATTGCATCCATGTGTAACATCTTTATTAAATCTATCATACTTATATTGAGCAGAGAATAAGACTAAAGATGCTTACACACGCCTAGATTCATGTGCGCAGAAGCAACATCGCTGAGTTGTTGTGGTCATTTTCTCCTTGATAGAAGCCAAAGAGAACACCTGTCAATGAGAGCGACCCCAATGATAGATAGCCCACTCTGCGGGGCCAGTGGGGCCGCTGGAACACGGGGACATTCACTTAGGAAACCCCTCCAGTTCTGCTGTACAATTTATACCCTCCATCCTCTCCCAAGTCAAAAGCTGTCTGTGTCAGTGTCATTTCCACTACAAGCCTATAGCTGGAACCGCGAGAGGTGCGAGGCAACTTCTTTCTCGAAAACAAATAAGCGGCACGAAACAACACAACCTCCCTATGGGGAAGCCTTGGAATGGATTATCTGTCTTTAAACACCCACACTCCTTCTTGTGTTTCTCTCTTCTCTCCTCGACGTCTCCTGTTCTGTGATCCAAATTATAAATCTCAACTGGAGGGTGAGAGATAAAAAGTTCCCAAAGGAGAGCGGCTTTTATGTAAAGAAGAGGGTGCGGTGAGTTGTTGTAGATGCAAAAGGGGAAGATGCAGAGATGACTGTTCGGCTCTCAAACGACACTTAGTGTTTTTTTTCTAGGAGGTGGGATCAAAGTAAATACTCAGCTTTGACTTTACTTAAGTGCCCTGGCTGTGGAATAAAACTCCCTAACTGCAGGTTTTGGTGTGAATACCTCGAGATATTCTTTTATCCCTGAACAGCTACAAGGAAGACCGACCTTCTTTTGGTTGATCACAACATTTACACAGCTGCCATTTTACTTTTAACACCCTCTCATATGCGTACCCTAAAATCTTTCAGCATTTACTGGTTAATCAGTGGGACTAAAGGTCCTTACACACTGGGAACGTTTTTTTATGTGCGATTATTTTAGATGTCAATATTTTATTCCAAATTCGTATCCTGCCAATACAAGCGTTCACAACAGCAACGTTTTCCCGTCCTGCGATATTGCAGGTATTTAAATCTAAAGACAAGCTTTTTGAATGGGTGTGTATGGGGCTTCCAGTGATTTTGCAGCGAGCCTCTAGTGGACACTCCAGGAACTACAATTTCAAACGCTTGGACTTTATTTCTCAAGACTAAAGGTCCTTTCACACCGGGAGCCTTTTTGTCGTGCGATTATTTTGGATTTCGATATATTTTTTTTCCGAATCCTGTCAGTACAAGCGCTCACATCAGCGACTTTCTCCCGTCCTGCGATATTGCGGCTTTTTTTTTTTCGGATCATGGTCGAATTTTCTAAAGTTTCGCATACTATGTGTCCACCTCTGACCAATCAGATTTCGTGTTGTTGCAACGTCAGATTCACCAGTGTATCCAACATGGCCGACCGGCTGATTGTTTACGTGTCGGAGAACAGAGTGCTTTTTGATAAAAAAACACAAATATTACAAAGATAACGACCTGAAGGACTTTTCTCATGACGATGGTTTGTGTGCTTTAACAGTTTGCTGAACGTCTTTGTTTTAACTCTCATCTGTGCTAAGTAACTTTAGCTCATAAGCTAACTGACGAGCTAAAGTTACTTAGCTAATCAAAACTGAAAACAGTCAGCCCCCCCCGGAAAGTCGAAAAATCGCATTGCGCTTGATGTGTACAGTCAGGCGCGTCAAAATTCGCCTCCGAATATTTCCGAATTCCGCGTTGTAAATTTGCCGTAACCTAACCTAACACAACCATGTTTAGCCAAGATTACAGTGGTTTTAATGAGTTGTTCTGTTAATATTTAGTTATTTCCTGTAAGCACAGCAACATCTCAACACTACAGCGATCTGTTGTGTTAATATAGCTAGCTTAAAATTGCATATAGTGTCTTTAAAGTTAATACGGCGCCCTCTAAATGTTTCCATGACTGTCTTTTCAGTTGCTAATCAGCTCAGGAGTGGGGATACTGATTTCCTACATCTACCTACAATCACAATCATTAATTAACATATCTGAATGATATCATTGTTTAATTTGAGCTTCCTACCCTAGAAAAATGGCTGCTGTGGGAGAACGGTGAATGGTAGACCAAGATATCAATAAATGTAATTTGTTGCAAATGAGTGAAAAATGTTAAATCCACTGTGACTCTTTCGGATTTTACCAACCACAGGCCAATCCTAGCATACTGTACAATTACCTGACCTTTTACTCTGAAATACGTGTATTTCACACTTAATTTCCTCTTTGTGGAAAAGAAAATGTTATTGGAAAAAATATAGACTCCTCTTGGCAGACACCATATGAAGTCTACTTATTATTGGCTCCTCTGAATGGTTGAAATCCAGGGGAATTTTCTCCACAGGCACAGATTGGCTTCCATGGCAACAAGCACAGACTTACATGAACCAAAGCCTGGCCTTGTTAACCTCAGTGCTTGCACCTGACAAGAAAACACGGTACTACAGTCAAAACATCATGTCCCTACTTGTGTTTAACTTACTTTCTGAAATAATGTACTGTCAAGGACACTTTCACAGTCTTGTCCAAACACTATGAGCCCCTTTTTTTCCTGTTTTTAACAAACTAGAGCTGTAACACCTCTCGCTTGTATTAGAAGGTGAAAAACCTTTAGCTATTAGGCATATTTTCAATTTTTATAGGAGGATAAACAGATTCTTTCGAAACATGCCTCGGAAACACCATCTTGACTCGAGGTTACAGTATTTCCTTTAAAAACTGGAGTTGTTATTGACGAACAACCAACACACTGTCAAAGCTTAAAAGCAATGGGTAATCATGCCCCCGCTTTATGTGACCCTCGGCTCATTTCGACACACAAACACAAGATTATGATGCAAAAAGAGAGACCAACAATGTAACCCACACAGGTAACAAATGCGCCAAACACTGCACCAAGTATTACACAGGGTAGAGTACAAGAAGAGTTGTGGGTAAGGCTGCATATGAGTAGCATATGAGGTAGCACACTAGGTGGCGTACAAGGTAGTGTACAAAGTAGCATATGAAGAAGGATACCAGTGGTGTATGGGGTAGGGTTGGGCATCGAGTCCCGATCATCGATGGGGACCGGGACTAACATTCCGATTCTCCCAGAACCGTTCAAATATTTAAATTTGGATTCCAAGTTTTTGATACTCGAAGAAATAGCCACCCAACACCAACAAGGAAGACCCGCTAAACACCAACGAAGAAGAAGCCAATGAACACCAACGAAGACGAAGCTTGAGGCTGCGGTCAAAAGTTTGGCTAACTTTAGCAGGAAGAATGAACTCTTATCTCAGTGCAACATTAGCAACACAGTTAAATCATGCAAAGGAGAGTGAACCACCAACATGATTAAACACCTCAGGATTCATGGAGGAGAAATATCTGAGTGCCCTGTCTTTGACGCGCTTCGCCGGTCTTCCGCTAACCAGCCAGAATCAGGTAAGTGAAACAATCACTCACATCTGTCTTCTGCTAAGACAGAAGTTTTGTACTGTGTACGGTGGGTCAACTTACATATCCGACTAACGTTAGCCCTCGTACTTTTTCATAGACAAACGACCTGACAACAAAAATTGCTATTTATATACTAGTTGAAAATAGCCCTGTGAGAAATTCATAGTAAAGTTCTTAAAAAGTTAATATCATTTGAAAATTCATGGAGAAGTTCGGAAATTTCATCCAAGAAGAAGAACTCCGGTTAGCACCCTCATTTAAAACATGCTTTTTTATTATATATATCGTGCCTTTTAAAAGAATCGGAAAAGAGAATTGTTAGGAACCGTAATCGAAACGTGGAATCGGAATCGTTCAAAATCAAACAATACCCAATCCTAGTATGGAGTAGTGTACTAGGTGGAATGCAAGGTATAATATGAGGTAGCATAGAAGATAGCGAACTAGGTAGCATAAACAGTGCTGTCCGAAGTGGTGGCTTACGAAGTGGCAGTTTACGAAGTCCAATTCAAGGTCAGGTACAAGAAAGCATACTAGGTAGTATTTGACGTTGTTTACAGAGTATCATATTGGCAACATAAGAAGTAGCGAATGAGTTAGCATACTTGGTGGCATATGAGGTAGCATTCTTGTTGACGGTCTTTGCTTTTTAAGGGTCATAAAGGGAAATTAGCAATTATGTTGATACTTAGAATCTGCTAGATCTTCAAAATAAACTCCAAGGTAACAAGGAAACACTTTAAGTGATCTACAAAGTTACATACTAATAAATAGATGGAGTTAAGCGCAACCTATGTTATCTCCATCCAGGTAATGCAGACTGTTTCTTCTTCTTTCGACTTGTGTTTTGTGTGCGTATTGTGTGCATTTTTTATTCACTGTAGAGCAGAGACAGATTGCTCTGCTGGAAGCTCTTCAGGGGGTGGTTACGTGTCCACTTGGTAAGTTTCCATCCCCTGCCCACGCTGCATAAGTTATACAGGAACGACAAAGGAATAACTGATGCAGAATAAAGGGAGCTGCCTGTTATTGTGACGGTCCATCATATCTCAGACCCAACTGTCTGAAAAACTTCACAGTTGATGGAAGGCCCAGCTGTCCAGCAGCTTAAAGCCTTATGTTCTGGGGTGAAATACAAGTGATGATATACAAATGTGTTTGTGCTCTTTTTACAAACTTTTTGGACCAATGGGATTGCAGAATAATCTACCCTCTGGACAATTATATACTTCCAGATTATAGCAAGGTAGTGATCCAAAAGAGGGACAAACAATATCAACATGAAAGTACATTATACATCAAAATCAAGAGCTGGAACTTGAAATTGACTCTGCTGGAAAATAAAGACAGTTTTGATGGTGCAAAACAATAAATCAAAAAATAAGTTTCCTCTCAGTCAAATTAGTTTGAATTTAATTTGGACTCAACTTAATGATGCGTAACTTAGTTTGAGAAACTTTCAAATCCGTGGTGAACGCTTGTTGGCTCAGTTACTGCCACTTTTTTCCAGCCTTGATAAGAATATAATGAGCCTTATAAAAAAAAAACCTGTTTCTCCTGGCTCTTACTCTGTTTGCAGTGCCTCTTGTTCAGCCTTGGCTGGCAACACCAGTTGTTTTATTCCCCCCCTTCTTAGAGTGTCACTGCTCGCTGTTTAAAAATCTGTTTATGCCTGTTTGTTTCCTTCCCGACCTCTATTAACACTTGGCGACAGGAACACCTTCACCATCCATAACCTCTGACTCTAAGTGACTGGCTATAGGATGGTAAAATGAAATATACCAGGTGGCTTCAGCAGGCACATTTCACTGACTTATATCCATCTATAAGTGCAAAGAAGAGAAAGAGTAACAACCACTTTAGGAGCGGTATCAAACATCTCTACAGACTGATATTGCATCCGAGTTTCTTATTCGATTCATCAAAGACAAAATTGGAAGCAAACACACAGTTGCGCACAAGAAAACCTAGCTTAGCTGCGCAGGTTTGACCTAAATCGAAGTCAAAATTGCTTATTTTTAAGTTTTGATTGTAACCTTTGACAGCGCCATATCCACCATGAATCTCTGGGCTCTGGAGCATCCGGCGCCATCCGATCATATTTGCTCTCATCCAGCAGAACCCTCTCCACCTCGTGTTTTCACATCTCTGTGGGATTTGATTAATGAAGCAGATTTCCGGCTATCAAGCTGGGTGCAAACTGTTCAATTATGCATCTTGGACTCTCCTCATATCGTGTTTTAGTATCTTCGCCGGCGTCTCCGGGCCCACACGTGTGGGAGGGCCGAGCTGGAGTTCGAGCTATATTTGTCTGAGTGATGACCTTTGCCATGGCAACAAATTAAAGTGGAGTGATTGGCACAGCACTGTCAATTTGCTCTTTCATGAGGTCCTCGCCGAGGTTGTCGCAGAGATCCTGGCAGGACTCAATTCACATTCAGAGTTAATCAAAATGCATGGCTGGGGCAGGCAAGGAGGCAGCCGGCTCATGCTGTAAACAGTAAAGGAGCAGTTTACAACCTGACGCAGACATCTGTCCTCATCTGGCACAGCTGCTCCAAGAGTGCCTTATGATTGTTTGGTTGCTTTTGCAGACACTCCAACAACTTTCATATTTTATATCGGAGCACGCTGTTTGTTATACAGCAGTCTCTTTAGCTGCTATAATTCTTGGCGGATAAAAAGCCTTGGGTGATGTGCTGGTGGGGCTTTGAGAAACAAAACATTCGCATCTCAGCAGGTGAAAGTTAAGATTATCATACCTCTTGTAAACACGAGGATTTTCACTTCTTATTCATTACAGCTGTTCTTCTTGATGCCAAGGAAACCAACATGAGTGGCCTCAAATGTCTTTGTCTTTTTTGTTAGTCTGAATATTTGGTTCTCAAAGGACCTTGATGTGTGATAAAAAAGGAAAAATACAGAAGTGTTTTGATCAAATGGTGCATGAATCCTGACCAAACAGCGAGAGTGTTATATTTCACCTGAAATGAGATGCACTGTAATATTTGGGCTGCTTCTAAATTTGTTATTCACACTATTTTTTTTATAGTTCTGCACCAATGATTATGTTAAATCTACAAACTGTTAATGAGAAAATAAATGGGAAAAAGTTTGCTTTAAATAAGTCAAGGACAGTGTTAGTTCAGGCAGGCCGCAAGATCCATAATAAAGCTTATTCTGTCAAAACAATAATTAGGGGTGTGCTGGAATGATATTGATATCAGATATCAGTCCAGTATCAGCAAAAAAAAAATATATCGGATCATACCGACCTGCATCTAAAATCTCTGATATCAGTACTCGGATACAAGCAGTCCATTTCAGACTCCGTTTTGGCACCTCTATCTAGCAGCAACCAGATCCAGCATAAAGAGCCAACATAATCCTAACAACAGTGTGTACTAAGGTACGAACAAAGTAGCAAAGAGTAGGAATGATGTTGGCCATGTGGCAGTATTTTTCGTTAAAGTCCGAAAAGACATTGCAGCTGAGTGAAAAACTTGTCATACACAATTTTGTGCCAATATCGGAGCAATATCGGTATCGGTCGATACTGAAGGCTAAAATATCGGTATCGTATCGGAAGTAAAAAAGTTGTATCGGGACAACCTGAATCATAGTATCTCATTTAAAGTGGCCTTGACTGAAATTCATGTCTCAGTGTTTCCCTTCATTAATTCCGCAGCGACGCACTGCCACTGCTGAATTACGTGCACCGCTACTGAAATTTCACATGATCATTGAAATCAATGCGCCACAAATGATTTCTACTCGCACTGTGTGAGCACAACAACACACAACGTTATTTTTGACTTGTTTTGAGTCTTTAACAAGCGCATCAAATCCTTCCTTCAACGTGAAAGGTAACGTTCGAGTTTATACATGGTCTGTATAGCGAGTACCATTAATAGCATTAATATAAATGCACCACAAATGATTTCTACTCGCACTGTGTGAGCACAACAACACACACACGTTATTTCCGACTTGTTTTGAGTCCTTAACGAGCACATCAAATTCTGTCTCACCCTCTTCCATCAACGTGAAAGGTAACGTTCGAGTTTATACACGGTCTAAATAGCAATTAGGGAAATGTAACATGAAGGTAACAGCGTAGCTCCATAAGTGGCAAGAGAGAGAGTCGGGGTAACAGTGAAAATCCCCCCTGAAACAGAAGCACCGCTGCTAAAAAAAATTCTAGGGGAAACACTGTCTTATCTATTTGAATTAGGATATGTCTCAGTTTTTGTGCATAACATAAGCAAGTTTCTGTTACTGATGCACTGAATTGATTCTGATTTGAGATGCATTTTAAAGTTATTCTAATGGATATATTTTGAGGTTAGAAATGGATTTTTTTGTTTCTTGACGTGTTAAAATAAAAAAATAAAAAAAAAATCAGGAGAGAAATAAGAGAGAGATTTTTGCAGTGCGCAACCACCACTTTTCTCTCTGGACGTCTGAGTTTGTTCTGTGATGAATCCCTGGCGAGCAATGTAACAGGTGGGTGGATGGACAAAACAAAAGATCAAATCAATAGTTTCAGCCACCGCTTAATTGCACATCGGGAGCCAAAGGTTTTTTATTACGGGCTCTGGTCAAACTTTTAATATACCTTGGGCCTCTAGAGTATGGTGTTCCTGCACGCCGAGCTTTGTCCAAGAAAAAAAAAAAAAAAAGGCTTTCTCTCTTGTTTTTATACACCCTGTCTTCCAGTCAACCCTTAGCAACTGGCAGTTTTCAGGAGAGCAGTTTACCAACAGCAGAGAATGTAATGAAGTCACAGTATCTGAATTAAGCCGCTTATGAGATTAGAGTATTCAACCCACCTTCTCTGGTGTGGAAATTATTAGAAAACAAAAGGGTTTACCAGGCGCAGAGATTTAAACTGAACTGGAGATTTTCCTCCTCACTTCAAACCGCTGAAATGTGCGCGCGGATAAAATTAGCAATGCGGTCACACTTTTTAATCAAATGCATGACTCTAGGAAAAGTCACGCACCTCCACAAAACACCCCGGGTTTACTCTCTCCTTTGTAAGCTTGACATTTTTGTGCTATGGTTTTATGCGATTTCGGGCCTCGATATTAGACAAAAAACAACCAATAATGAGAATTTCACAGTGAGGGTTTGAAGGTGCTTACTGAGGCAATCTCAATTTCCGAGGAAGCGCGAAAATGTAATATGCTCTAAATATGACGCAAATGAGCCCAGATCTATGATCTAAGATTACTCCGAGTATCGCAGCATCCCGAGTCTGGCACAGCTATCATGATGAGGAATTTCAAGCGTGACCCATCAATTATAATAATCATGCTTCCTCTGACATATTAATATACTCTCATTAGCTTTACAAATCAGTCAAAGGGAAGCTTTGGAGGAGTACCTGTGCTTGATAAATCACATCTCTTTTTGTGTAAACAGCTTGTTGCAGACAGATGTATTCACATTGTTACATATCTGAGGGGTGAGGTGTAAATAATGCATGAGTGTAAAGCATGAGCAGTGGAACGTGTGATAAACCATGCAGCATCTCAAAAAACCAGCGTCCTGGGATTCTTGGGCTTCCTGCTGAACATTCAGAGTGGAACAAGAATCGAGCCGAAAATAAAATAGATCCCGATGCTGAGGACAACGCTAAGAAGAGACTAAAACCACAGCAGCAGTTCCGTGAGATATGAGGCTACTTTTTCTGAGGGTTAAGTTGATCCTGGAATGACGTATAATTTATTCAAAGGAGCACAAATGCATGTTCGCAGCTTGATGGATAACCAGCCGTGCAGGAGTTGTCTCAAAACTTCACATGCATTAATGAATGTCAGCCTGGTGGTACCACTCAAAGAGAAGTAAGGGGTCACCAGGTTATTAAGATTAACCCTCCAGGGACCAGGAACACTTATGATGGGGTATCAAGTATTCTCATAGACAAGAACTGCTCGTACTGATATGAGCGTTTAAAGCTCCTATAAGTAGATTTTTTACATTCATGGAATAAGTTTATATTCATATTGATGCTTTTTTATGAGCAACAAAAGCAAACAAGACCACAAGTGACAAAATTGGTTGTTCTTTTGTTGTAATTCTAAATGTCTGAAATCTGAAGGAGGGTAGGTGTCAGTGAAGCAGCTAAAAAAACAGTCCTGTTTTCTCACTTTTCTCATTTCACAATAATTGATCAATCTTGCTGTCAAAAGTCAGACTGAACGCTTTTTTGCTTCTTAGCCTAAAAAAGTAGGATGTACCAAAAACGTTCATTATTTTCCAGAACTTATGCTGCGTTTGAGTTACCTCGGAAGTCAGATGTCCGAACTGAAAATGATGTCACACCTGAGTTATCAATGTTTCAGTTACCAAGTCGGAAAAAAACATTGAGGTCCGTCCAACAAATCGTCAACATGCTATACAAGTGTGTTACTTTTATTTTAAAAACCTAGCCATTTCCGTTTGGACACACGTGCCTACTGCCTAGATCTGCATTCGTGAACAGAGACAAGTTTAAACATCAGCAAAATATACGTAGACGCCATATAGTTGCCAAGTCCTGTATTATAAAAGACTTTAGGCTTGTTTCTCCCAGAACTCGTGAGTCATGGTTGCGCTTATTTGGGCTTGTTTTTAACTAGTAGTTGCTTATTTGGGTTTGCTTTTCTGTATGTGTGAACCCCCCTGATTTAAAGTTGAAGTTATTGTTGGTTCGACCCTCCAACACAGTTCAGGTGTCTCATGTGGCCCCCATGTAGAAATGAACTGCCCATCCCTGCTCTAGACGACCCAGCTAAAGACACTCCATGGGGGTCAGGTCAGGCCAGTCAAGCACAGTAATACCAAAGTCAGTAAACCAGTTTTTGGTAGTCTTATCTGATACTGTGTTGATCTACAGCCGACAGAGCCGACCCTTTGAAAGTCAGCGGTTATCTTGCCAAATTCATCTCCAGTGATTCTAAAGGGGTTTACACCAGAACCTTGTAAAATATCGGTTCTGCTCTCCGTAAATTCTAGTCAGCACAGTGTGTTTGACCTCTTTGCCAAAGTGTGTAATGCAACAACAAAAAAGATGGCTTTTTACAAGCAACCGCTGGTGGGAACTCGGTATAAATCTACCGGCGAACTTCGGGGGTTACCTTCGGGGAAATGTGCTAAATGTCATGGCAATCTATCCAGTGAGTGTAAAGCCGTTTCACCTTAAAGCAAAACTTTTAAGCTTAACATGACCCTGGAGGAAAATCTGCCTCAGTCAGAAAGTTCAGTTTGTGAGGGAGCCGATTTCATAGCGGCAGATTCAATAGCTGCCGTCTAGATTAAAACAAGTTCCTCACAGCAGCTCTAACTGTGAGGTAACTTTGATGTAACATAAGCTAACACCTGTGCTTTTATGGTGTTAAGCAAAACTTAACAAGTAAACAAACAGAAATGCGACTAACAGCCTCCCCCTCCGCTGTTGTAACAGAAAAGTTTGAACAAATGACTCTTTTCAAAACTTCTAAAGCCTTTTAAATGAGAACGAGCTCACTCGTCGTAGCTGCTCAAATCTAACCCACGCACTCGGAGGAAAAAGATCTTTCAGTTCAATGAAGGACAAAGAGCTTTGTTCCATATCAACCTTGTTTACATAACTTCACATCGGTGTTTGATTTGGACTCGTTTCAAGCCGGCCGCCAGCTTGTTAATGTTAGATTCAGAGGTCCTCACTGTCCAGCCTTTTTCCCCTTCAGCAAACAGATGTGTGGGAAATGCACAAACAAGCTCACAAAGCTGCGCTGGGTCCATAAATAACCTGTTTGTCTTAATCCATCAAGTTTGTGGATGTAGAAAGCAGTACCTCTGTACCATGTGGGGGCTGAGTATTAGCTGGATGTCTGCAGTATCATGATGTATAAGCTTGCTCTTTGAACAGGGGTCTGGTCCACTATAGGGCTATTATGCCAAGCTAGTGCCACCCATCCATCATGCTTAAGCACTGTACAGCCTATTTCACTTGGCAGCCAGCCACTGTCACCCTCTGCTCACTTATTTCCATACTGAAATCTATGGACGTGACTTATTCATAAGGCTGAAGGGGATACAGAAATGGTCAAAGGCTTTCAGGAATACATGAGATGTTTTTAGCTTGAACCTGGGAGAGAGGCCATTTCCTGCATTCTTATTGCTACAGCACTCAAAGGTACTCAGATCTTTGACTTTTCTTGAGGTTCCATTACAGCAAAGCAGAGATACTTCTCAACCGTCGTGTAATTTATTGAATGTAGCCTAAAAGCAGATTTTTTCTTTTTTTTGTAGAAAATAGCCTCTTTCACTCACATTTTACTATTTTTTCTTTTCAGTGAAATGAGCCTACAGCTAGAAAACTCTTTTTATGCCTTTACCTGCTGTAAGGGAGTAGGTACACTGAAGAAACAGCTCTTTTTTTTGTCCACAGGAGGTGCCAAAATCAACTCAAACAGAAAGTTCGCAAATGTAGTTTTAACTGGGGGCCTAAAGGTCCTTACGCACCGGGAACAATGCAAATATACAACACCAAATTACAAAATATAGTCAGCTGGTCAGCCATCTTGGATATACCGGTGAATCAGACATCGCAACAACATGCAATCTGATTGGTCAGAAGTGGACATACAGTTTGCGAAATTTTATGTGATACGAAACAAAAATGCCGCAATATCGCAGGATGGGAAAACGTCGCTGATGTGAACGCTTGTATTGACAGGATACGAGTTCGAAAAAAAAAATAAAACGTCCGAAATAATTGCACGAAAAAAACCGCTCCCGGTGTGTAAGGACCTTAAGAAAAAAGGTGCTTTTCGACCAAAAGCACCCAGAACTTTTCGCGCCAGGGACTTCTCTTTTAGGGACTCAATGGTTCCTGTGAACCATTGTTGTAAATAATGCAAATAAGGCCAACAACATCCAATGATGGTATTTGGACATGAAGTTATTTATTCGTGTGTAAATTATTTACCAGCTTATATGATAAACAAGATTGTTTCTTGATAAGTCTAACCACTGAAGCTGTCATGGCACCCCTGAGACAAACAAAGTCAAAACACATTTAACTTATCAGAAAACCTCAGATTATTTCAGATTTAATCCAGTGTTTCTCCAGTTCTGTGCATGTCAGTGTTACCAGCATTTTACATGTAAATTAGCAGCCCGTTATTTTGATGTAAATAAAATCGGTGTTAATTTTTAACTAAGTACAAACAAAAATAGTAATAAATTTACATCTAAAATGATTTGAGTTGATACAAAATATTCAGAAACTTGAACAAATCTGGCTTTAAAGGAGTAAAAAGTTTATATACTTTCCTTTAAAGTAACATTTTTGAAGCACATGGTGGTGACTGTCAAGAAGAGTAACTCACAATGAGATTGTAGTTCATTTTTATAGTACCTGTTATAATTATAGAGACAAATTAACTTGAATGAATGACTGATAGAAGCTGAAGTCGTACCCTATTAACAGCAATAAACCCAGACACATATTTCAGCTAAATATGGCACATCTGGCCCTACACACACACGCATACACACACACAGCACCAACATTGCTGGAAGGTGTGTTTTTTTGGCCCACTTTGATTTCTCAGGCATGCAGCCCTCGTCCCCAAAAGTTCCCTCAGCAGTCATTTTACACTCTGAACAGGAGTGTTATTTTTCCACTTTCTAATTATATCCCTTTATCAGGCCACCCTGTGATTGGTTTTCGGTGATAAGCAGGGAGTCAGACTGGAAAAACAAGCAGTCGTAATGTTAAGAATTAGAGGGAGAAAACTACTTTTTTGTTATCTCGCCGGGGAGTAAAATGGAAAGTAAAAGTCGATTTTCAAATGTTTTGTGAGCGTAACTGCAAGGTGACAGGGTGTAGCGTGAAAATCAGCTGCTCACTTTGTCTTCCAGGAACTTGTTTTTAATAATCTTTGCAAAATATTTTTCCATGGAAAGATGTTTTTCTTTTTTTTTTTGTTCTTGTGAAACTTTGTTGAAGCAGGATTTGACTTCTTTTAAAAAACTCTGAAGTTGGCTCACTTTTCATTACAATCCGCTCACTGATTATCCCACTAAAGATCAAGAAGAGCAGGTTTTCGAGAAGTGTTTCTGTGTTAACAACCACTCCCACGGGGGCCCATTTAGGCATAACTGCTATTGCTGTGAAAACTTAGAGGGGACTAGGTGGGAGGATGTGAGCGCAGGTGCAATATTCAGCTGATTCTCTGTCAGTGAGACATCACTCAGGGTGGCATTAGTATTCCTACCAAGTGATGGTTTTAAGGGATGTTGCAATCCTTCTTTGTTTTAATGGTTCTTTGCCAAATATCTACTTTTCTGTCTCAGTTTGGAGACTAGGAATAACATGACTATATTAGTTTACAGAGGCTGAAAATGCATGGATTGACCAGGTTACTGATTAGTTCAAACAGTTCTTCAAAGTTTGAATAGGAACTTCTGTAAAGAGTTTTTCAGAAAGACGGATTGTTTTAGGAAATAGTTGCGTAAAGTCGAAACCACTGAAAACGATGTTGTGCATATGCCAAGCCAGTGGGTAGCGCTGTAACACTCCCCTTGAAATGCACCAAAAGACAGAAGAAGCGTACTAAGCGTGAGTATTAAGGTTGTTTAGGTCGGACTTAAGCAAGCGTCTTCAGAAAGTTATGCCGTGTGTGACGTTAACGTTTAGGGATTTCTCTATAATACTGATATCAGATATCGGTCCGATATCAGCAAAAAAAAAAAACGAATATCGGATTATATCGGCCTCTGAAATCTTCAATATCAGCTCTCCGATACAAGCAGTCCATTCCAGACTCTGCTCTGGCACCGCTATCTAGCAGCGGATTTACTAAAGTACGAAAAAAGTAACAAGGAGTAGGATGATGTCGGCCGGGCGGCAGTATTTTGCGTAACAGTCCGAGAAAGACGTTGAAGCTAAGTGCAAAACTTGTGTACAATTTTGTGCTAATATTGGATCAATATCGGTATCAGCCAATACTGACGGTTACAATATCGGTATCAGATCGGAAGTAAAAAAGTCTGGAAACCCCTATATTGCTTCAAGAAAGCTGCGGATACGCATCCACACAGAGACAAGAGGGTAGTTGTATATGGATTTATGCACTCTGGGAAGTATCATTTACCGGATACGACAAAAAACTTTTGTGTTTACTCTTGAATTTGTTTCAGTGTGGACAGAGCTTTAGAAAAAACGCCCATTTTTGGATGCATAGACGGTGAATGGCTGAGCTGTCATATTAGCCATTGTACTCTGACCTGCCTGGACTAACACTCAGCTCAATTTTCAGTGCAGGTATCAACTTATGCATGCTAGAAATTTGGCTAACTTTGTAGATAACATGTAGCTTAGTGGCTAAACCATTTGGGTTTATGGTTGCGAGACATATTAACTTACCTGCGCAAGTTACTCGTAAGCAAATAGTTATATCACACTTATGCTACTGACCGTACAAAGAAGTCATCTTTCAATCCGTTCCCTTGGATAAACAGCGGTGTTTCATGGTCACTACATCACACAGCTTCTACACTATATAGAGGGTGTCAAGACACAAAGATAGAGGACTTCCCAGGCCTTCATATTTGGATGCCTTGGCCCCCCAACTGAGCTGCTACAAATAACCCTGAGACCAAGAAGCAGCTGGTAAAATTGAGAGGAAT